CGTCGCCATTTTTAATTGCCGTGCACTAAATTGAATCGATATTTTCAGAAAAATGCAGATACGTTGCTCGGAAAAATCCCAGTCGTTCGAATTGGCAGTTAGAATTGGAAGAAGGCTGAAAAGCCGCTGCCCGGGCAAAATTTCCCGCAAAGTACAGAAGAGCAGGACGTTAAACCTCAATCCATTTTATTTTATTGAGACAATACACAATCAAAGGTATTTCTATTAAAGACAATTTGGAACACAATTCTACAGTGTAACTTATGGCCATTTAACATTACATTGATGGTACTGATTTCCCAACGCAATATTTCAGAATCTTAGATAAATGAAGAAACAAAACCCATTCTATATGAAGTTTTATTATTGTATCCCGATTTGCTTAATCAAAGAATAACAGCGGTCTTTACATTAAAATAATTCAAAATTTTGACCTTTGAGATATTTGTGAACGACTGGCCTGTAAATGCTTTTAACAGAGCCAGTAGAGGCGGTTTAAGTAATTAAATGATGTTTTGGACGTACGTTTGCCACTAGGGTAAACAGCCATAAATAGAACAGAATGGACTATCCGGTTGATTTATGGTCTGTTCATGCATCAACATTAAAGACTTGACGAGGCACTGTGTGGTCTCTTTTTGAGTTAAATGTATAATGGTTTCGATCCATACTTTTACATGCTGAACCTCGTGGGTTTTTACAGGTTCCGCCAGTTTCCTCCCACTTCTAAAGACTTATTTAAGCGATTTATTGAGATAACATAGTACCATATATCCTAGTTTGTGTTGCATGGAATTAAACCCCATTTCTTTACCTCTATTGCCTTGACATCTTATGTACGTTCATCATCGTCGATATGAAAATGTTTTCCGGCTGTGAACTATAGTATAATAAACAAAAACATATGATAGTAATCAACATGCTATCTATAACTTTAATTATTTCAGCAAGGGGGATAAATAAATCATTTCTGTCACTCTCTGAGATAATGCAGCCATAGGTATAGTAAATACGTCAATGAATGGCTCGTATTTGTGTTGAAACATCATAACGTTATTCGTGTAACGAATCGCATGCCTATCCCTTCTTTCCGGGCGTACATAAAATGAATACCCAACCTTGTCTTATATACGTAACTTATCAATCTATGTATCCACCTTATTTTAACTATAAAAAATCTATCTATTCACCTTTCTTTACCAGGGGTGGGTTGGGGTCCGTGTGTTGCGGGGAAGGCGGTATGTGTGTGTGTGGGGTGGGGGGCTAGTATTACAAATAGCATAATATAATAAAAGATTATAGATTATTTAATTTGGTTCAATATTGGTACATTTTCATCCTTTACTCCCTTACCTTTACAGTCTTTTACCATATCAGTATCTGTGGTTTATAGACACGGTGCTACGGTGGCTCAGCGGGTGGGACGTTGGCTCGCTAACCTAGATGTCGCGTACTCGATCCCATCATGTGGATTTTCCGGCATGGTTCCCCCTTGTCAGTAGTTCGGGTGGTATGAAAAACTGAGCCCCCGTGTACACATTGGCGTGCACGTAAAAGATCCATCATAGCACACAGCATGGCGTATGTCGGTCTTCATTAGCCTGGATGGAGCAGAAAAGTAGGATGTTAAGCCCTATTTCAATTCTTTTTATTTCCGATTAGGTATAACTCGTTCAGAAAATCAGTTGTAAGTCATGAATCGTTCGAATTTAGGTCTCGATTATGTGTATGTCGATGTGGCATTATTACCGGCTGTCATCTTTCACCATTTTCTTCTTAAAACCCCAACGTGTTTGAATAGTGGGTTCAATATAGAGTTTAAGACTATTTACAATCTAAAGTACTCTTGGTTTTAGAAAATAAATGCAAGCAAGTTACGACCATTTTACGTTTCCGTTGGTTTCTTTGATTTCACAACCACCATCTTCCTTTCCCTTTGACATAGTAGTAATAATATTGTGCTTAATTAGACACCAAAAACAATGTTTGCATTAAAATAGTACACATATTTGACTTTAACAATATATATGAACCACCTGGCCTGAACTTTAATGATTTTCTGTAAGGTATGTCAGAGAGTCTTTTTTTCAAAGTAAGATGCACTTACTGAACCAGACGTTTATATATATCTCTACCTGTGCAATAAGTTGGGGAGAATTTTAAATTAGAAGCAGATACGATAACAAATGGAAACATGGAATATGATTATAGCATAATGATCTAGCAAATTGTGTCGTATCTGTGGGGTATGTAATGATTACGGGGTTGGGTGGTCTAGTGTGCGTTAAACCACAAGTCTGTCATTGAGTCAAGTGACGTGGTTTTCTCTGGCTCCTCCGGTTTCCTCCCACTACTAAAGATCCCTACGCGCAAACGAATTATTGAAATAAAATGGAGCCACATGTTAGTCTCGAAATGATCTAGTTTGTGTTGAGTGACCGTTGAACCCTATTTCTTGACTAACTATAATATCAGAACGATTTCCCAGAAACTTAAAAAAAATTTTCAGTCGTTATTTTTAAAACAAAGTATAAATTATATAAAATCTAACTCACTGGCGTGGCTTCGATTCCCCAGTTGTACGTGACAAGAAGTATGGGTTAGCCTGTCCAACCTCGTGTTTTTTTTCCGGGTCCCCGGGTTTCCTCACGTGCAAAGACCCCTACGCGCAAGCAAATTATTGAAATAAAATTGAACCATATGTTAGTCCGGAAATGACCTAGTTTGTGTCGAGTGGACGTTACCCCCCCCTCCCTCTCTCTCATTTCCAGTTCCTATATGTAAATTAGTAAATTAGTAGGATAATTCAGAGACGTTAACCCCATTTCATTTCAATGAAGTCGATATATAATGATATGTTTTGTCAGCCTTAATGACTTTCTATCTCGCAAAATATACCACTTGTAGCTTGTGAAACGGAAATATGTTATCAAATAGCGGATATCACATATTTATCTCGGAAATCTATTTAAATCAAAAATGTCAAACTACTCTGGTGGACGTATTATTTTGTCTAGGTCAATTTGACAAGTAGAAAAACAAATTAACGTCCCTCCGATCCGGAAATCGCCAAATCGCGTTTAAAGCCCCGTGCACAGTTACGACTATTTGATGGAAACTCCGAAAACAATATTCACCAATACCTGTCTGTCTATCCGTCATATGTTCAAATGACTCGATGGAGTTTGATGGTGAGCATTTTCTGTTTAGGCTAAGCAGAGAAAAGCAATTTGATTGGTTGATGCTTTGGGAAGCTATGACTTTAATTCTAATTGAGTGAGAGTGATGAAACTTGATGTATAGTTTCATTACATCAATACCTCAACTAGGTTCGATAATCAACATTTATGCTCAGGTTAAGACCAAGTTCGATGATCAGTATTTTGTGCTTAGGAACCATAAAACCCTGCTTCAGATTCAAGTAGAATGTTGGAGCTGGTGTATAAAATGTTCATTAGGTGAATGAATATCTTACATGTATTTATTATGATATTAAAGATACATTATGTAAGATTTAAAACGTCAAGAGCTCGTTTTGTGGATATGGCGCTTTATAAATGGGCATATTATTATTATTATTTGGAAAAAGAACTGACCGTTCTTACTATAATAGTTCGAAAATAGATAATGCAAAATGGATATTACAGAAAATTTCATTCAAATTACTATATTCTGAGCGAAGTAATCACTGTTTGAAGTTTTGACAAGATGTAGCATATTTATAATGTTTATTATAAGGTACTCGTTATTCGATATTTAGCCTCGATGCGCCATTTTTGAATTAAATCATTAAATGGCGAACGCCTTTTAATCCGTTTAAATCTCCGCCATTCGATGATCTGGAGAGATGATTATAGACTTGTCATGTGAATAAATGTCTAAATAATAGTTTATATAGTTTATATAACATTTGAAGCCAAAATATAAACCTGCAATAGGCAGAATTAGCTCTTACATAACGCCTCTTTAAACATGTAAATTAATGTCATGTGATGCTATTTTCGGAGCAAATAATGCGCTACAATAAATCGCTGATTATAGTCTTGTGGGTTTGCCTACAATTACATTTGCTTTTGAAAGACAAGTCGGTTTGTTCACCAATTTTAGTGTCGTTCTTATGTTATATTCTCGATGAAATGGATTATACACTGGCATTATCTATGGTATAAATAGATGACGGAAGTCTCGTCTATAAACAAATCAACACATACAATCCAGAGAACCTGACCAAGCAGGTCAATCAGGGCCTGTGGCAAGGCCCGGCGGGCCCTGGGACAAGCAACTCGGCGAGGGGTAGGGGGTGGGGTGTCCTCCTTTAGACTCGAACATTTTTGAAAGATACATGCTCTCTTATAGCGTCATTTTGGCGTATATCTGGGTTAACTGAGGGTCACTTTAATAAAACGCAGATACTGAGATTTAACAAAACAACATAATGACATACTAAATACATGTACTACGTTTTAGTTTTACTGATGTAATAATAATCATATGTACACGATTTTGACAGGAAATTTTGTGCAAGAAAAAAAAATGGAAAAACAATACCCACGCTAACTTTGATCGGAAAAAGTCCGCAATTGGAACAAATATTGAAAAACAACGAGATATTTAGTGCTTAACGAAACGAAGACGAAAGTAAAAATTTCGCTTTCGGTTTCGTTTTTAATGATCGGATACCAGTCAGCCCACCTAGAGCTATAGACAACCGTGTACATGATTACTAGTGGCAGAGCGCACTCACAATCATTGTGACGTTCTACAGGCCCGGATTATGCCCCGATTACCTGTTTAAAAAAATTACTTGCCAGACTTTCGGGCCCCTCTAGGCTCCGCGTCCCTGGACAAGTGTCTCAGCTGCCAACACGTTCTCATGGGCCCTGGGGCCAAGATCAAAGTGTGGGTGGGGATCGAATAACATGAACATCTATCGTTAGAATTAGAAATACTATTTTTATCTCAAATCATTTATCTCAAATTCAACATATCCTGTTTTTCAGCTTTAATTGTACGTTATCTCACCAAAAGATTTATAGGAGATTATGATCCAGAAATGGGTGAGTACAATTTCTTCACAGTTAGGCATCAAATCTAATGACCAAGAACGTAACAAGGAAATGACTTTGACATCACCCTTTATCCAATTCCGTACAAAACCGGGTGAAATTTCTCGACCACCAATCTGAAGTATAATGCCACCCACCAAGTTTACTTTCATTAACCTTTCGGAGAAACAAGCCTCTATAGATGAAGCGTCGTCAAACCTGAGATAGGATCATGCTTCTCTATTGAATGTTTTTGATCAACTTTGACACGCGCACACGGTGTATCAATAGCTAGACTGATTAGTTTCGTACATATCATGGGAGATGGGGAATTTGCTACTAATACGTTCCTTTCTTTACATATTGATTTTACGCTCTAATCTAACACCATGTTTAAGATGAATTCATCTACTAGAGTAAAATATTCTCGCAGCTTTAATCATCTTTAATTAACAAGTGGTGTCAATAGACATGCGCCAGTCATATTTGCGAATCGGCATATCCGATATCAATCATAGTTAACAAATATGGCATCCCCATTCTAGAAAGAATGTTTAATGGATGATACTATAGTGTATTACTTGCTAGGGCAGGACGCTATTAATGCATTTCGGAGAGTGTATTCACTTTTCGGGAACATTTAATCCCAGACAATTCAGTTGTCGTATTATGAAAATATCACTTCACATGAGCACGTTCCCGGGTATTGCTAATTTGCCAAATATTCGGGTTGTTTGCAAGCCCGCATAATCCTTGATCCGTATCCAAATTCACAGTAGTTGCTATTGTGCCTGACATTGAAATCTATTTTTGTAAAACCCGCAAATCAATGGTGGCTGATTGGTATCATGTCGTAATGTCGTGATGTCGCCTTTCATAACGCGACAACCCGACAACCCGACATCACGACATTTCTACCCGACAACACGACAACCCGACATCACGACATTTCTACCCGACATCACGCCATTTTTACCCGACATTACGACACTAAAAATGTCGTGATGTCGGGTAAAAATGTCGTGATGTCGGGTAAAAATGTCGTGGTGTCGGGTTGTCGGGTTGTCGTGATGTCGGGTTGTCGACTTCCATGATCAATGTTATAAGCGGCCACGATGATATTCATAACAAAAAACTGGCAATTAAGAAAATGGTTGATCAAGTGGAAGTAGATTCACACTCACCATAGGCGTACGAGGCGGGGGGGGGGGGGGACACCGCCCCCCCCCCCCCCAAATATTTTCATGAAAAAAAATAGAAATCTGAAAAGAGCTCAGAATTGTGAGATCTTGTGAGATCTGTCATTAGCCGAGGAGTTGTTGAAAATGGGGTGGGGGTAGGGGTATGGCCTTGGGGAAGGCTATGGTCTTGTCGGGAATGAATGCTCAGTTTGTCGGGAAGCGTCGCGCCGTCTGTCGGGTTTTGAATATTTTTAATAATATGGAAGCGGAAAGAAAGCAGTCCAGTCAATGATGAACACGTACGCCATCTGAATAGAACTAGCACGTACACATGGCCTTTCTCAGTTCTTGACTGTGTTCCTGTATACTGGCATCCAACTCCATGCACCGGACGAGCCCAGTGATAGAAGTGATCTGAAAAGCAGTATAAACTCTCTGTTTATGCCTTCCTGATAAAAAAATGTGAAGTCTCATAAAATGAAAAATGTGGCAAAAGTAAATCGTTCGACTTGTTCTTTGTTTTCGTAGTAATAGAGCTTGTATTTTAAAGATGACTTTTACCAGTTTTTATGCTGCAACTGACATAATTTACTACCCACTCCAAATTACTAGAAAGTATTCGAAATGCCTGGAAATCGCGTCTACGGCCGTCTGGTTTTCAAAATTTTATGGGGGAGGCCCCCCAGACCCCCCGTCACACGCTTAGCGCCTCCGGCGCCCGCGGGCGGACGGCTTCGCCGCCCGCGGACTCTAAAGAAATATATTTGTCGGGAAATATGCTGGCCCCCCAAACAAGTTCGGCCACGTACGCCTATGACACTCACAGTGCAGTTTGAGTTGCATTCGTATCCATTTGTATACGTCCACATTCATAATGTGAACCGTCTTCATTAGCTCAGTCGGAGCAGAACAGTAGGACGTTAAACCCCATTTCATTTCATAATGTGAACATATTATGAAGCCGCCCTTGTCTGCGTGTCTGTCATTGAGTCAAGTGGTGTGGTTTCCAGCCCAAGCTTGTACATGACAAAGAGTAGGGTCGTCTGTCTAACCTCGTGGGTTTTCCCCGGGTCCCCCGGTTTCCTCCGACTGCTGAAGACCCCTACGCGCGAGCGAATTATTGAAATAAAATTGAACCATATGTTAGTCCCGAAATGACCTAGTTTGTGTCGAGTGGACGTTAAACCTCTCTCTCTCTCTCTCTCTCTCTCTCTCATGATCAAAAATCATAAATAAACAACAAGATTATGAACATGTTAACGATTGTATACAGAGTCAGTTAAAAGCCTGATTAAATAAATGTGTTTTAAATTGTTTTTTAAACGAATATGGTCAAGATATAACGCGACAACCCGACATCACGACAACCCGACAACCCGACATCACGACAACCCGACAACCCGACATCACGACAACACGACATTTTTATCCGACATCACATTTTTACCCGACATTACGACATTTTTAGTGTCGTAATGTCGGGTAAAAATGTCGTGATGTCGGGTAAAAATGTCGTGATGTCGGGTAAAAATGTCGTGGTGTCGGGTTGTCGCGTTATGAAAGGCGACATCACGACATTACGACATGATACCAATCAGCCACCATACAAATCAGAGTTTTTGAGATTCTGTTCAAATTTATTGGGTAAGCTCTTTTTGTAGCACCATTACCTCTGTCACGAAGCACTGTCAGCTTGCTACACATCACGGTTTCTTACATTTCCATTTGACGCTTGTAAGTATTAGGTATAAACTTCACGACTTATGTTTCATTGCTTAGCAATCTTGATTATTTTAACTGACCTTTTGCAGATGATATATTTAAACATACCACCACTATAGATAGTAAACAAGTTACTATACATATTATGGACACAGTTTGGAGTTACACGGTAAGGAATGGTGCTTTTTTGAAAATCAATAAGGTGCATTCTCGCATAACCCCAATGGTTCACACCAAATTTAAAAAAAAAAATCCATTATACTCTATAGCCTCTATCGCGAATATTATCGCAGAGGACATATAAAACGACAATCTTATTCAAAAGAAAGGCACCGAAATAATTAAAAAAGAACTACAGGGCAATGTGCTCTCCAGATCTGGTTTTGCTGTCCCAAGCAATAAGCGGCACTATGGCCTACTCTTATATCGAATTCTAACTGCCAAGGAAGCTTTTACGTGCACGCCAATGTGTACACCAGACCTCGGTTTTTCGTCCCATCCGAACGACTAGACAGCAGTCCTGCGTTCCAGTTAGTAAGGCGATGCTCCTCTAACCAGGAGTTCTTTAGGATTTTCCTGAGTGGTTCTAACGTGTCACTGGAGCAGGGCGGTAGGCCTTGTAAGAAACAACGTCTAGTTGTTCGGATGGCCCAAAAAAACAAGGTCACGTGTATACGTTGGCGTGCACGTTATAGAACCCGTGGCAGCTGGTATTCGAAATAAGAGTAGACCATAGCGCCGCAATCTGATTAAAATACAGATCTATATTTCGTTTCGTTTATTTTATACTTTCGATGGCCTTACACTCCATGAAGATCTGACAAGTACGAGCGGCTTTTGAACCTATGACGTTAGACATTGATTAATCAATCAGCGTTGACGTTTCTACTGATTTACCCACAGTTCCGTGCATGGCACGATCACTCACTTCAACCAAAACGCCGGTAATATAACAACTCTTCAAGATCCTATTGTAGTAAAGACAAGTGAAACGAAATTTTAAACTATAAAAAACGAAACGAAATAGGATCGGTGTTTTAATTAGATTTATAGCGGAGTAGGGTCGCCTGCCCAACCTCGTGGGGTTTCACCGGGTCCTCCCACTGCTAAAGACCCCTAAATTTTAACCATGTGTTAGTCCCGAAATTACCTAGTTTGTGTCGAGTGGACGTTAAAGCCCCCCCCTCTCTCTTTTTTTAAATTATTATTCTATTATTTAATCTCTATTTCAGCATTCCCATCACCAATATAAAGAAGACCCGATCACGTGGGCAGATGGTTTTTTATTGGTTTATTCTGTCACAGATAGAGATAGTTTTATTTCTGTTCAAGAATTAGTTGAAAGTCTTCGATTATCTAGGGAAGACGACCGCATTCCAATCGTTGTAGTTGGCAACAAGAACGATCTGATTCACATGCGACAAGTTTCTTTAGAAGAATCGGAAAACTGGACGGCAGAACACAACTGTACCATGTGTGAAGTGTCTGCTAGTGAGGACGTAGAAAGTGTCGAAGAAGCATTCCATACATTATACAGACAAATAAAAATAGTTCATAAAAAGAGAGAAAAATTAACTTGGATAATGCAAAGACCGGCTGTTGCCGCCAAATTACAAATAAGACAATCATTGCGCAATTTAGCGGAAAGAAAATGGCGCTCCCGAACATCCACAATGTGATTTCATGTAATTCCACTTTAAATATTTTATATTACACCAGGTTAAGTTATTAAATCTGCGCTTTTAATGTAAATTTAATAACTTTGCCATTGTTTCGCATGTGCTAATATTTTTTAAATCGGAGATTCAGGCAAACCTAATTATGAAAAATTGGAATAGAAAATAAATTAGGCTTTCTTTAGCCATTCTATCTTTTTACTGAGAGCCAGCGATTACATAGTAAAAAAAACCGTCTGCTAGTTTCTAGACACCAATGCAACACCTGGGGGAAATATTGAAAGGCTAAAATTAGGCACATACTAATTCCACCTGAAACAGATATGACACCATTGCATACTCGCATAATAGGGTGCTCGGTTGCCTGGAAACAGTGATCATACAAAGGTAGACAACCAGTTTTAGTTTTCTATATATTCGAATCATATTCTTAAATTTGAAATGAAATCGTTTTATGTCCTTACTTTTCTGCATCGACCAGTATGATGAAGATGGGCATATGCGTTCAGTGTCCTATGAGGGAGATTTTGCCAAAGAGCGGCGCTGCGGTATCCACAATCTCCTATAATTGCTACCCCTATCCAAGGGCGTGGATTTGTCATAACTTTTCGGGGGGACGGACGAACCCTGGAACCTTTCATTACCAAACCAAAATAATAATTACGAACAGTTTACAATTGTTATTTCGATGAAAGCTGTAGCTATGGGTAATATGATGACGATATGTGTTCTGTCTCGCTGACAGAGACGACCGCGCACGTGTTCTCAAACGTACTTTATGCTCAGTCTCAACTCAAATGGCCGTTCCGTCAGCTGCCCAGATAGCTTACGCGCACCTTTCTAATGATGAAAAAACACAACACAGTATTAGGTGCTAAACCATATTATTATTTTCTTCAAGTAAGTAGCGGTAAAAAGATTATGCGACGAAAACCCTGGTCACTTCGCTCAGCTCCTCGTGTTTATATTTTTTTTCTTTTCGGTGATTAACTACACTCCAAAAATGATCGGCTCGTTCAGTGACCAGAATTACCGTACACGACAAAAATAAACATGAACACGCGAATATACTATGGTCTCAATGAACAGCACACTCCCCACTTAAAAGATGAAGTCTTTTACCATTGTTCACATTTCTCCTAAAGGTTTATCGTTATCGATTCGGCACAAAAATACAAGTTCACAAATGGGTCTCTTTATAGGTTTTGTATTGTCCATTTAAACGCGGTTGGAAGGGATTCTCATCTCGGTAAATGGTGACCTCAGCTACTCTTGCTACTCCATCTGGATCCAGCTTGACACCAGTAACTCTTCCCTTGCTCCATTCACCTCGTACGACATCTTTATCTTAAACTAAAACTATGTCGTTAACTTGTATATTGCTCGTGGTATTCTGACATTTTCTTCGTGGTTGAAGACTCTGTATATACTCTCGTCTCCAACGGATCCAAAATTGGTCCACCAGGTACTGAACTCTTCTCCATTGCGTACGACAGTATAGGTCTGGTTTGGTAAATTCTCCTGGTGCTGGTAGATAGAGTCTCGTTTTAAGAGTAAGTAGGTTGCCGGGAGCTAAAATCTCAGGATTCTCAGGATCTGTTGATATGGCTGTTATTGGTCGTGCGTTTACAATGGCTGCTGCTTCTGCAATCAGCGTTACCAAAAGGTCGTGGGTTAGCTGCTGCTTACCAATACCAAGAAGCATGCCCTCTAATACCCTTCTCAGCGTACCAATTTGGCGTTCCAACAGGCCACCAAAGTGTGAGGCGTGGGGGTGGGTTAAATCTCCACTCACATTCCTTTGAAGTCAGGAATTTCTTCACAGATTCGTCTTTAATCTCACTTAAGGCTTCTCGTAACTCAGTTCTGGCTCCGACGAAGTTGGTTCCGCAATCTGACCATAAAAGTGCTACAGGTCCCCGGACTGCTATAAATCGGCGAAGGGCGTTGATGAATGCTGATGTGTCCATAGCATCTACAATCTCTATATGTATGGCTCGACTCACAAGGCAAGTGAACATAATGCCCCATCTCTTGCTATTTGCTGATCCTCCACGGGTTTTTCTGGTCATGACTTCCCAAGGACCGAATGCATCCATACCAACGTTGGTGAAAGGAGGCATGTTCTCGAATCTTTGCTCTGGTAGATCGGACATCTTGGGTGACTCTAAGGGTCTTCGTAAGAAGTTACAGCGAATGCAGTTTCTAATTTGATGATTGACTCTCTCTGCTCCACTGATAATCCAGAATCCAGTAGACGTGGTACAAGGGTTAATCAGCGAACTGGATGTATGAGATGTGTTGTTGACGTTTGGGAAAGTAGGACGAGGGGAAATGTGTAGGGAGTGAAGTGTTGTAAAGGGATAGTTAGATGTATTATGAATGGTTAGAGTGGCTGTGGTGTTACGGTGAAATACTATGCCGCCACCGTAACACCACAGCTTTATGATTTGTTAGACAGGAGTGATGTAATGGGTGTCAACAACTGGGTATGCTGGTACCGTCGCAACGTAGCCGTGAAATATATATTGTGGGGGGGGGGGGAAGGGCGGAAACGGAAAAATATACAATGTTGACAGTATGTGCCAGGCATGAGGCTGCGCAGACCGAGCGGCAGCTCGATAGGGAGTGTGTGGGAGGGTCACCCTCATAAAATTTTTTTTTTTAAAATTTCAGTTTTCTGTAAGCAGTGAAAACATTATTTTGGCATTGTTTGCGGGGTTAAACCTAAAAATCACATTAATACACCTATTGCACGATATTGTGAAACTAGCTGACGAAGACAGCTCGGGCGGCGATTGTTCGACTCGGGGCTGCTCTGTCAGTATCTAACAAACGCATTTAGTTCGCGTACAACTTTTAAAAACCGAATGTCAGTATGGTATTTCTCACATAATTGGTTATCGCAAAAACAGAGTAAACTGAAAGCGAGTAATCTCGACTCAAACCTATAGTCTATAGCCTACTTACAGTACTACACTCGTCACTAGGCTTCCTATATTATTGTTTGTGGACGGTTTACTACTCAGTGATAAGCCTGCGCCGCAAAAAGAGGTCTCGCCTTTTATTATTAGTATAATGACTTCCTCATGTGCGGCAGGTTAGTTTGCTTCTAAAAACACTGTTTTCCGTTCCAAAAAATACAAAAGTAATTTTCTACCAGATGACCATGGTTCTTTTCACCGAGACTAGATAATTTCTCTCGGTGTAAGGATATAGCTATGGATAAGTTCATACAAGGTCAATAAATCCGCGGTCACTTAGGGTCACACTGTTGAGAAAATAAACCGATGGGTTTGTTTAGTAGCAAATCGAGCGTGAATCAACTGAGTTTGTACTGAAAAATTTTTGAGTGATATGTATGAACTGTCTTCACACATTCGGTTTATAATTAGCGATATACAGGTACAGTGGCAAGTGTTGTACTTCACAGACTGTTTACCTCCGAACTACCTCCGCACGAAATCCCCGATTTGGGTACTTGTTAAAAGAAAAAGAAATAGTACCTGTGCGCATGCCAGTAAAAAAAAAACCTAAGAGTTCGCGCATAAAAATGCCCGAACGTACCAGGCGCCAGGTCATCCAGCTTGCCTCACTGCTCCATGTGTGATGGACCGGCCTTGGTGGTGGTTCACGTCGTGGTAATGCTGGATTAATAAGGGCGTTATCAGACTCTTCTTGGGTATAATCCAAGGATGTTTCTCTTGATTGGAATAGTTTGCTCTACTCAGACGTCCTCCAATTCTCAAAGTACCATGGTTGTCGATAAAGGGGTCTAAACTTCTAAATTGAAGGGTTTTCAGCTCGGTTTTCTTCATGGACTTCTCAGGATGTTTCAGGATCTTAAGCTCATCAGGAAAGGTCTCTTGTTGAATATGTCTGACGACTGCGGTCTCGGCTTCTTGTATTAAAGAAGGATTGATCTCTACCACGGGCTTCTCATTGTTCATATATCTAGTGAACAGTTTAAGACAACAAACTGCTCTCAGAAGCTTCTCCCAGCTGTTGTACGAACTGATTATGGTACAGAATGAACAGGTCTTTTCTACAAGGGTTGTTCTACAAGATCTAATCTCAGCGTCTTCTTCGCTCAAAGAACTGGTGTAGTCCTCAAAGCTTGGTGTTTTCAAAGATTCCCATAAATGCTCTGGTCCTCTTAACCAATCGCTCTTAAGAAGTTTATGGATTCCACAACCTCTGCTCACTAGATCGGCTGGATTCAACTTGGTCTCAATGTATATCCATTGGTTTGTGACTGTTAAACTTCTAATGATTTGAACTGTTTGCTACGTAGATATAGAACCTCTTGGTTTGGTTGGTGATGTATCCCAGTACTACCTTGGAGTCTGAATAGTAGATCTCCTCATCGATTGTATACTCAAGATCTCGTTTAATGTCTCTCACTGTGTTGACAAGTAGTACGGCTGCGGACAGCTCCATTCTTGGTATCGTAACCTGTTTGAGTGGTTTAACTTTGGCACATCCTTTAAGAAAGGATACCCAAATGCTCTTCTCTGAATTGATCACTCGAAGATATACGACTGCTCCGATCTGATCTAGGCTTGCGTCGCAATAACCATGAATCTCGACTCGTTCGACTTTACCAAAGCTGGCTGGTATAAGACATTTCTGTACTCGTACTTCTCCAATAGATGACAGGTCTCTGTTCCATATGCCCCATTCCGACTGGAATTCG